CTGGGAATCAGATGCTAAGAGTGAATTAAGAGTGTCAGAAGCTTATTGGGTAGGTAAACTCCTGGGAAACGTCAAGAGAGGGAAGGAGAATTGGACAGTGAAAATTTCAGATGATACATGTTTCACACCTGTGAAAAGAAATGGCTGGGGGTTTGTGTGCAGAATTGAGCAGGGAGAGGGTGCTGATGGTGATGCAGATATGATATCTGCAGAGGGGGCAGAAAGTAGGATTGGGCAGAAAGAACCTGCAACCACAATGCAGATCTGACTAAGTTTCAGCCAACCGAATAGTGAGCTTCGGAGCAAAGAATGCCTATTAGAGGAATCCCATATTGGGCAGAAAATGGACAGGTCCTAGGACCTCTGCCATGCTCAGTCATTGGCTGGAGGATGCCCAGAAAGAGCATCTTGGTTAAAACACTCCAGTGGATCCTGAAGGTGTTGCAGCTGGAGGCTGTCAACTGTCTTCACTCCTTGCAGCTAAATGGCAAATTCTTTCTTGAAGGGAGAGCCTCGCAGTAATCCTTCGCGCCTGCCATAGAGGACTGCTCTGGGAGCGCCACTTGAGTGGAGGGTGGTGAAGGAATGTTTGAGAACTTGACACATGCCTCCTGGAATTTGGGGGCATCTGTGAACATAGAGAAGGATGCCCACTTCTCTCCCAGAGAATGCTGCAGGTGAAATAAAATAACCTATGGCAATAGGTTAAGGAGAGAAGGCACAAGTGGGGGAGCTTGTTCTCCTATTGGTGAGGTTGCTTGAGTTTCCCAAGAAACAAGTAGGTGCTTCAGAATGAAGCTGGACTCCAGCTGTTGTGAAGTTATCCTGCTTTCAGCAGGCAACCTGTTGAAATGAGGGAGTCCCCAGTAGTATAAGGCGATGAGGTATACTATCAGGGACAGGAACTGAAGGACGTTTGCAAGTAAATCAGCAAGAGCGCCCAGTATTCAAATTGGGGAACTGTGCAGTGTGGAGATTTTTGTGGCATCTCTGAAGAATTCATATATGTGTCTTCCTAACCTCTACCTCCCCAAAAGCAAACATTAGGAATATCTGCCACACTGGGGACATCAAGGCCAACCTACATTAGTCAGGAGGGAGTGAAAAAGAAACACCAGATAAGTAAAAATAAAAACAAAAATGAAACATCCAAAACAAAACACTTGGGGGTACCAGGGTGGCTCAGTCAGTTAAGCAGCTACCTTTGGCTCAGATCATGATTCCAGGGTCTTGGGATCAAGCTCTGCATCGGGCTCCCTGCTCAGTGGGGAGCCTGCTTCTCCCTCTGTCTGCTGCTCCCACTGCTTGTGTGCTTGCTCTGTCTCTCTCTCTCTCTCAAATAAATAAATAAAATCAATCTTAAAAAAAAAGAGGAAAACAAAACAAAACACTTAGCTCCTTTCTTCTAACTCCCCACAGCTCCTTACCCTTGGGAAGCTAGAAGCAGTTGAGCAAGGAGAAAGAGAATGAAAGAGGTTAGGCCTGACCTGGGATGGGAGAAGACACTGTTTGAGTGGAGTGGTTGGGGACAAAGCTTTTTTTTTAAAGATTTTATTTATTTATTTGACAGAGAGAGAGAGAACACAATCAGGGGGACTGGCAGGCAGAGGGAGAGGGACAAACAGACCCCCGCTGAGTAGGGAGCTCAAAGCAGGGCTCTATCCCAGGACCCTGGGATCATGACCTGAGCTAGAGACAGATGCTTAACTGACTGAGTCACCCAGGTGCCCTGAGACAAAGCTTTTTCATATTTACACTCCACCAAATTAAAAATGTTCAATAAATCAATTATATATCCATAGATCTAAATATGCATTGGAAAAAATTTGAAAAGGTACATATCAAACTGTTGTTTATAGCAATTACTAGGGATTTAGGGGAAGTTAAGGGTGGGGCACAATTTTATTTTTTACTTTATTTGCTTCTCTATGAGTTTTATTTCATCAAGCACCAATTAGTTTTAAAATTAAGAAAAGTAAGTTAAAACAAGTGGTTTGAAATGAACTAACTGAAAAGTATTTGATTGAGAATTAATTTATTGTACACATCCATGAAGGTCGATGCATCTCAAGTAGGATAAACATGAAGAGAGCCACATATACACACATCATAATAAAATCAATTCATTCTGTATATTTTTTGAGTTTTTGGGGGAGGTTGTTCAAAGGTTTATCCTCAAATTCTGGGAAGATGGCAGCTTGCACAAATGTCCATGGCACACTCTTTCTATTTGTTCTGCTTAAGAATAACACAACAAGGGCGCCTGGGTGGCTCAGTCTTTAAGCATCTGCCTTCAGCTCAGGTCATGATCCCAGGGTCCTGGGATCCAGCCCTGTGTAGGGCTCCCTGCTCAGCAAGAAGCCTGCTTCTCCCTCTCCCACTCCCCTGCTTCTGTTCCCTTTCTTGCTGTGTCTCTCTCCATCAAATAAATAAATAAAATCTTTAAAAAAAAGAATAACAGAACAGCCAGTATAGGCAAGGTGATGGAGCCTGGAAGGTGCATCTAAGGCCATATTTCTTTTAGGATCTTGAGTGGGGGTGAAGAACAGATTCAAGCCAAGGTCATGCTCTTCTTGGGCAGCCTCCAGCTAATGACTAAGCATGGCAGGGGTGCTAGTGCCTGACCACTTTTGTCAAATGTGGACACTTCAAATAGGAGATTTCTGTTCCGGACTTACTTCTTCAGTTGGCTGAGATTGTTCAATCACCTTAAAGCTGGGTGGGAGTCAAGGGGTAGCGGTAGAGGACAGGGCATATCTGTTGGAAACCTGGGATAATGACAGTGATTTTGTGGTTCTCTGAGGAAGTTCAGCCTGCCCTAGGAAGCCTGGGCCTGCTTCCCTGAATCAGGGGCCTGATTCAGCTGACCATGGTAGACCTCCAGGGAAACTATTTGTTGGTCTGAATTGCTACAGTTTTAAGAGATTTCCACTTGTATTCAGGGAGACATGGGACAGAGAGGCTTCCTCCCTGTGCCTCACAAAGGCATAACAGCTCTTCATTTAGCTTATTTCTGACCCACAAAAACAAAAACTACTTAACCTTCTACCATTCACTGGTTTACCACTGCTCAGGAGACGCTAATTGCCTAACCTAATTGCTAAGGAGTCAAAATCACAAAAAGGCAAAGAGAAATAACCCATTTAAGGAAAATGATTAACTAGAGGGAGGAAGACTAACTTAGACAATTAGACAGGTGGCTCCCATTAATGTAGAAAGGAAGAGTCAGAAGAGAATTATTAAATAACTAAACAAATTAATATTTGTAAAATGTTTAGAATAGTTCCTGTCATATACATGTTTGTTAAATAATAAACTATAACAAGAAGTAATGAGAACTCCCGAGGATCTGAAATTGGAGCACAAAAAAGACACTGTAGAACTAGAAAGTATGATTTTAGAATTTAAAAATTCAGAACAAAAATCTTGCAAGATTCCAAGCAGAAAGAACACATTCTGGCTTCCAGCTGATTTGGACAACAGGAGGCATTGATGGATGGTTGGAGGCAGGGAACACAGAGAAAGAGTGTTTCTTCACCTCCCTCTCTGCCTCAGACAGCATCTCTAGTAGTGATTTCAGCTCCTCTGTAGCCTCAGCTCCTACCAGCAGGCTTCCATTGGGTAACCAGTACTGGGCTCCAGTAAAACCACTTCCTTCCTTTGACCAGCCTCCCTCCCAGCCTAGGGGCAGTAGTTGCTCCCTGCCATTCTTAATCTCTAGGCTGTCCTTATTGTCCCCTGTTTGGTTTATCAATTCTTCCATTATCTGTGCAATCCATTCCCTGTATTTTTTGAAAAGATTTTATTTATTTATTTGACAGAGAGAGATCACAAGTAGGCAGAGAGGCAGGCAGAGAGAGAGGGGAAGCAGGCTCCCTGCTGAGCAGAGAGCCTGATGCAGGGCTCGATCCTAGGACCCTGAGATCATGACCTGAGCCAAAGGCAGAGGCTCAACCCACTGAATCACCCAGGTGCCCCATTCCCTGTATTTTTATATTCCCTCTGTTTTATTTACTTATTCATTCATTCATTCATTTAGTGATCTCCACACCCAACATGGGGCTCGAACTCATGATCCCAAGATCAAGAGTCATATGCCCTTCCAGCTGAGCCAGCCAGGTGCCCTGTATATTCCCTCTATTTTATTTTATTTTTTATTTTTTAAAGCTTTGTTTATTTGAGAGACACACAGAGAGAGTGCAATCAGGTAGAGGCGCAAATTGAGAGGGAAAGAGAATCCTAAAGCAGACTCCCCGCTGAGCACGGAGCCCGACATGGCAGGCTTGATTCCAGGACCCTGAGATTATGACCTGAGCCAAAATCAACAGTCAGATGCTTAACTGACTGAGCCACCCAGGCACTCCTCCCTCTATTTTGAATACTCAGAGCTGTTTCTATTTTCTGGTTGGATGCTGACACTCTTACAAAGGAAAATAAACCAGGATCAGAGGTTTATTTTTTTATAAGGCTGTTTTTAAAAAGATTTTATTAATTTATTTGAGAGAGTGGCTGTGAGAACATGAGTAAGGGAGCACGAGTTGGGGGTGGGGAGCAGAGCGAGGAGCAGACACCCCCTGAGCTGGGAGCCTGATGCAGGGGCTCAATCCCAGGAACCTGAGATCATGACCTGAGCTGAAGACAGATGCTTAACTGTCTGAGCCACCCAGGCGCCCTAGGATTAGAGTTTTAATATATGACACAGAAAGCTGGAAAACACTGGAATACCATCTATAGCATGTTGGGAGTAGAGAACTGCTGGCTGACAATCATATTACCAGGGCAGGACGGGCTGCTTCTAAAATGGCTCCCAATAATCCTCACCTCCTGGTGTTCACTCCCGGTGTAATTCCCTCTTCTGTGTGTGTGTTGGTCCTGGTGACTTGCTTATTACAGACTAAGGCAAAAATGATGGGATGTCACTTTCATAATTAGGTTATGAAAAACTGTGGCTTCTGTTCTGCTTATATTCCCTCTCTGGCTGTTCTTGTACTCTGATGTAGAGAGCCATCTGGCAAAAAACTGAGGACCTCAGTCCAACAGCCAGCAAGAAACTGAACCCTGCCAAAAACCATGTGAGTGAACTTGGACATGGATCCTGTCCCAGCTGAGCCTTGAGATAAGACTGCAGCCCCAGCTGACACTTTGATGGCAGCCCGTGAGAGACACTGAGTGTACACCTTGATGGAAATCCTATGAGAGATTGTGAAGTAGATGACTCAGTTAGGCCATGCTATTCCTGACCCGTAGAAATGGTGAGATCATAAATGTGTGTTGCTTAAGCTAAGTTTTATTTTTTTTAAAACTGAAATTCAAGATTACAAGCAATAAACAATACAAAAAGGGGCATAAATCATTTGATCTTTTATGAAGAGATGAGCCATAAACCTTTATGTACTAAATTGTTATAGCAGGTTAAAATTTAAAGCAAAACTCTTAGAAACACAAGAAAATTTTGATAAAAACCACAACCATAATGGGAGATTATAATATACCTCCTTCAAAACTTAACTGATCAAGTACACAAAAAATAAGCTAGAAAATAGATGATTTGGGAGCAACTGGATGGCTCAGTCTGTGGAGTGACCAACTCTTGGTTTTGGCTCAGGTCATGATCTCAGGGTCATGGGATTAAGCCCCCTGTTGGGCTCCACATTCAGTGAGGAGTTGGTTTGGGATTCTCTCTCTCCCTCTCCTTCTGCCCCTCCTGGGCCCTGCTCATGGTTGCTAAATAAATTTAAAAATAAAGGCTTTATTTATTTGAGAGAGAGAGCATGAATAGGGCAGAGGGAGAGGGGAAGCAGGCTCCCTGCTGAGCAGGGATCCTGATGCAGGGCTCAATCCCAGGACCTCGAGATCATGATCTGAGCCTAAGGTAGATGCTTAACTGACTGAGCCACCCAGGTGCCCCAATAAATAAAATCTTAAAAAAAAATAGGTGATTTGATTAATATAACCAAAAAGCTTAATGTATGACTATATATATATATATATATATATATATATATATATATCTCCATATGCATCTAGAAATGTGAATTATTTTCTAACGTCCATTAACTATGTGCTTCATCACAGAGGAAAATCTTCATAAATTTAAGAGAAGAGAATTTATTTTTTTAATTTTTTAAAAGATTTTTATTTATATATTTGACAGAGAGAGCACACAAGCAGGGGGAGCTGCAGGCGGAGGGAGAGGGAGAAGCAGGCTCCTTGCCGAGCAGGGAGCCCAATTTGGGGTTCCATCCCAGGACCCCAGGATCATGACCTGAGCCGAAGGCAGACGCTTAACCAACTGAGCCACCCAGGTGCCCCAAAGAGAATTTCTTTTTTTAAATAAGGTCAACATGGGGCTTTACCTCACAACCCCGAGATCAAGTCACGTGGTCTACCGACTGAGCCAGCCAGGCACCCCTGAGAGAGGAGATTTTAGAGGCTGCATTTTCTCAATATAAGCCAGTGAAATTAGAAAGAAATAATAAAAGATGGTCAAAATATCTTTACTAGTTAGAAATTGAAGGACATCAATTTAATCCTGATTAAAGAGAAAATAAAAACAGAACTCATGAAAAGTTTAGGAAGTAACAAAATGTAGATATAGCAAATTCTATGGGATCACCTAAACTTTATTTAGATGAAAATTTACAGCTCTGGGGCACCTGGGTGACTCAGTCAGTTGAGAATCTGCCTTTGGCTCAGGTCATGATCTCAGGGTCCTGGGATCGAGACCCTGCATTGGGCTCCCTCTGCTACTCCCCCTACTTGTACTCTTTTACTCTTTCTCTCTCTCAAATAAATAAATTAATGGAATCTTTAAAAAAAACAACTTTCTAAAAAAAAAAGAAAATTCACAGCTTTAAATCAGGAATCACGAAAGTCTGGGTAGGTGATGGAGATGTAGGAAGTGGCTAGATATAACAGTGGAGGTGGGGCCTATGGAGTCTTAGCAGGGACATGACAGCCCTGAAAGCCTTGAAGTGCACCAGTCTGTGATACCCCCTTTAAATGCTTTTAGTATTAATAAAGAAGAAAATGGAAAATATGGAAACGAATCTACTAAGAACATAGTGGCAAAGCTGCAAAATTATCTAAAAGAAAACATAGGTGGAATTAATAAAGATAAAGCACCAAAAATTAGTGAAACAGAAAATTGTCACAGGTTGGGTTCCCTGGGAAACAGATACGGAGGAGGAAAGAATCCGAAAGGTTTACTGAGAAGTAATGTCTGTGAAGCAGAAGAGGCTGGGCATGTTGTTGGCAACGCAGACCTGACAAAGTCTCTGCCAGCTCACTGGGGAGCTCCATAGCAAAGATGACCCCGTTCGAAGGATCTCGCACGGGGCAGAAAAGGCTACACCCCGGTCCTACCACCTTTCCCAGTCATTAGCTGTGGGCATCCCGAGAGCACTGTGACCCTCAGTTCAAAATCTGAGGTGGACTCTGAAGGTCCTAAGAGCCACCAGCACTGTTTGCAGCTGGATGGTTAGTCCTTTCTGGAAGTGGGAGCTGCGGGTTGCCTCTCTGCCACAAAAATAACAAAAAGTGGTATAAAAAAGTTAATAAAACCTCAATAAAATAAAAAGTTGGCTTTAAAAAATTCAATTTATTAAAGATTTTACCTTTTGTGTGTGTGCACGATTTGGAAAAATTGCTCTGTAAGTAAAATTCATGTGCACAAACCTGCAAAGAGTGGACATTTGGGATGTGTTTAATGGTTATCAGGCAAAAACAAGTAGCCTTCAGGGATCTACCTTCCACAGTGGGGCCTTTCAGTCCCTCATCTTTTTAAACCAGACTTTCAATGCCAGCCTTCCTTCCACTGCTTTGTAAATACAGAACTGATTTTTTAATGACCTGAAATTAAGAAAAGGCTATTCCTACTAGAAAACAAGAGAGGAACATTATATCGGCTTGAGGTTTCATTATCCCTTCAGATCAGGAAGCGCTGGGCTGGGACCTCAAAGAGTGTATGTGAACATGCACTTGAACCCCTGAGGATTCAGAGATTTGGTGGACCCAGTTTCCCCAACTGCCCAACTCACTGAGATTTCCTGCCAGTTTCTGCACTGGCTTGATTGGCATAATTCAAACAGGAAAACCTCACAGTCATTCCAGTTTTCTGGAGCTCCATGATAACATTTGGTAACAGCTGATAGGATGTATTCCACACATTGTATTATGGAATTTCTTCAAGGAATTGCTAAAATATATGGAGTCAATTATTTTGTACTACTCCTACATATTTTATCTAGATTAGATTCTAGACTGCCAATAGATCTACTAAATGGCTCTGGAGATTTAGCATAGTAACTCTTCCGAACCTTTGATCTCAATGGCAAAAATGGAAGAAACTGCATTGTCCAGTGTGTTGATTACTAGCCACATGTGGCTACTGAGCACCAAAATGTTGGTAATCTGATTGTAAATGTGCTAGAAGTGTAAATACATGCAGGATGTCAAAGACTTGGTATGAAAAAGAAAAAGGAATGTGAAATGTCATAATTTTCATACTGATGAATATTGATGTATTTTGGATCTATTAGAGCAAATATATTAAGATTTATTTGACCTGTTTCTTTTAACTTTTTAATGGAGATACTAGTATTTAAAATCACACATGTAGGGGTGCCTAGCTGGCTCAGCCAGAAGCACACAGGACTCTTGATCTTCTGGTCGCAAGTTCGAGCCCCACGTTGTGCGTAGAGATTGCTAAATTAAATAAACTTTAAAAAAATCACCCAGGGAGTGTCTGGGTGGCTCAGTGGGTTAAAGCCTCTGCCTTCTGCTCAGGTCATGATCCCGGGGTCCTGGGATGGAGCCCGCATCAGAGTCTCTACTCAGCAGGGAGTCTGCTTCCTTCTCTCTCTCCGCCTGCTTCTCTGCCTACTTGTGATCTCTGTCAAATAAATAAATAAAATCTTTAAAAAAAAATCACCGAGGTAACTCACATTTGTGACCTTCACCGTATTTCTATTGTACAGTGCTGCATGAGATATTTACTGTGAAGTTTCCTGAATCCCTGTTCTTTTTAAAAAATTATTTTATTTTTTAAATTCCGGTATAATTAACATACACTTTGAATTCCTGTTCTTTTGACTCACTCGGAGTTTCAACCAGCACAACAATATTGATAAACCCATCCTTACGGCTGGCTATGGCTGTAACTGTGTAAAGGCTGATGTGTGTCATTACTGTGTGCATCTTCAGTTCTTCGTAATCTTTTGATTAATGGGGAGGTAATGTGAAGATATCCAGTGTCTATTCACTGGAAAGTACACATCGAGAGAGGGGAACATCAGGGGAATGTCACAAGCAGGGGCAGCAACAAAACAAAACCCACAGTAAGTTATCCTGCACCGCGTATGATAATGGCACCAGCGAGTCCTTTTGTTGACCGACCTGTGAAGGTCAGCCTTCTAGGTGTGCATCGAGCTGAGATCTGCGGCTGAGCACCACTGTGTACCGCCCGGACACTCTGCTGGACATCTGGTGCGGTTGGATGAACCGAGCGGCGGTGGCGGCGGTGCGACTGGAGCGGCTCCAGGAGGGACCAGGCACCGCGAGCCCGGCGGCGGAGGCGGGGGGAGGCGGGGGTGCTGGTGGGCGGAGAAGGAGGAGGAGGAGGTGGCAGAGGCTGCGACAAAGGAGGAGGTGATAGCATCCGGGGCCGCGACGCCGGAAGATGAGGCCGGCGGCCACTTCCCTAAGCTCGGAAAACCCCGGAGTCACCGCTTCTGCGCGGCGGAGCCCATTCCCCGGAGCCGCTCCTGCCGCCTTCTTGCTTCCGCTCGGAGTGACCAGGTCCCGGGGCTGCGCGCCCGCGCGCCTCCCGCCTGACCCGGGGCTGGGCTTCCTCGTCAGCTCGCTCCCCAAAGCCGGGTTGTTTGGAAAGGACCAGTAAAATAGATCAAATTCTTGGCTAGCCAGACTAAGGTAGGAAGGAAGAGAAGGAGGAAGGGGAGGTAAAATAGTAGTGATGATGTAGATAAAACAGATCTATGTGAAAAGACTTTAAAGAGACTCTCGTGTGCAACAAATGTGAGTATATAGAAGGAATGATGGATTTCCTGTTAAACTATAAACTACCAAAATTGACCCAAGGAGTAGAAAACCGAAGAGAGCAGTAACGAGAATGAAAAGTCAGCCGGTCCAGTTGCTTTTATAGCGACGTTCTAGGTAACCTTTAAGAAACAAATAATTTTAATGTCATTTGTTCCCTTCTAGACCAGTGTTTTTCAAAACATCTGTAGTGAAGGACCCGTTTCTTAAAATATTTACAATTATTGTGGAGATATGCTTTTGTAAAATTTAATAAGAATATTAGAGAAATGCAATAAGCAAAATGCAAGCTCAATTTTTAAATTTTAAGATTCATCGGAAATAAATTACATTTCATTAAATATACTCAAAACCAATTTAACGTAGGGACAAAAAACTAATTACAAAAACGGCACGCATTGTTCATGGATGAGTCCAGCGATTACTGCTTGGATGTCATAGCGATGTTTAATCCT